CAAAATAAATAATGTAAGCAAAGAGTTATGATTGTGTTTATATGATCACTTCTGCTCACTGCTGTCCTAAATGTGTAAAAAGGAACAATTGATTCTTTTGAAGATTGTAAGACACTCCCAGAAACAATCATAAAATTTTCTTTATTGTTCAACAATCTTATATTTTACATATTAACAGCTTTGCTGCTGACTAAATGTATGGATAATAAAATAAATATCATATAAATTATACTCTTTCAACCTCTTACCTTTCTAAGATATATGTTACAAGTTATATGTTACATACATGTATATTACACATATTATGTTCTATATTGTTATACAATCCTATTAACTTTTTTCACTTATAAAGAAATTATATACTAGACAACAACCAGTCAGTTGCATAAGGAGGTTTTTAAAATTTGAAGGAAGAAATATAATTATAAACTTTAGATAAATTAGTRACTTAAATGTTATTGACATTGTAAAGTTTTTGAGCTTTGTGTTGAATATTCTTGCAACGAAATTGAAAGTATGATATTATTATATCCAAATGACTTTGTTGTTGTCTTTACAATGGAACAAGGTTAATAGGATCAATTGTATATATCTACATACTACATAAAATATAAGAAACTACTACTAATTAATTAATTTATCAAACTATGGGTTGGATTTCGGGTTGACGACATTAGATTTTACTGWCTCATCAGTRTTRCAAACCCCATTTAGTTTTTTCAGTTCACTCGGTGAAACTTCAACGGAATCCACATGGAAATGCTTGTTAATTTGCTTCTGAACATTTTCTAGATATTTTCCATATGTGTACAAGATTGCACCAATTGAGTTGAGTGTTACTCCAGTAATTGTCAAAAATGTGGCTGGTACTCCACCGAATGTGAAGAAACCTATCACTGTCGTCAGAACGCCTTTGATGACACCAACAAGACTGTTGATTTAATGAAGGAATTAAAGMATTAAATCAGCAATAGTATCAAAAGTGTATTTTATAAACATGGAATGATTGAGACGCAGGAGCTCTGAAGAAAAAAAGTGATATTTACCTAGTAGTAAGAGCAGAATTCCACGTTGTGCATAAGAAAAGAGAATAATTTAATAAGCATCCCATAAGAACATTTACTATTAGAGCCACCTGAGAAATGAAAGCAGTAGAATAATCATTAGTTATTTTTGCCCAGTAAACAATCTTCAGGAATATCAACATTATATCTGTTTTTATGACAAGGAAAACATAAAATAGAATATTTGAATTTGCTARTAATCATAAAATTCATTTAATAACCTACCTCAAAGCCTGAACTCTGTGGCTTTGTATAATGGAGAGCAATAYTAATTTCTCTTGTCAACACAACATATGCACTTAAAATAGGAATACAGTTTATGCTGTTCAAGTGCAGTACTGCTACAGCTGAAAGTCCATCGTCTACTCCTGTCTTCTGCACATAAATTAAATAAAATGCTTGGCTAAAAACACTGCCCAGTGCACAGACGTATGCATCGAGAGAAAACACCAAGTCACCAAGACCTAGAAATAGATGTGAACAACATGGACGATAAGTTTGACTTATMAAATKCATTAATAATTCATAAGGTAAACACAATGGAAAATCATTGCCATGACTGCATCTTTATATGAGCAAGACATTTGTCCTAATTTGCATAGAACTTTGACTTTGATTTTCTCTTAAAAGTGATATATTTTATCTTGAATTTTTTTGCAAAATATACTTTAGCTTATGTTGGAATTTGATAAACAATATATTAAAATATTTGTGTGCGACYTTTATGGGCTTTAAAACTGCTCGCTTGCAGCTCGCAGTTTTAAATGCCAATTAAAGGTCTCACGCTCATATTTTATATAGTTATTACATAGTTATTACATAAAACTATTGATAATTTGAGGGTTATTTCAGCTCACCAGAAGTCTTCCCAATCAAATATTTTCAATTTCTATAACAATGAGTAATCTTTAAAGTTCTACCTACCTGCCACAAAACAACCACCAACAATWAGAAGTATTGAAATGACTACCAAAGGYGGTGGGAACTTATGGAAAATGAGGCGGCCAAACAGCAAAGTTACAAGAGGAACTAATCTTCTTAAAACATTGTACCTTGATGGACAAATGCAGGATTGAATACAATTGATACTTCAGATCTTTTAACATGGCCTTAAACCTTTGGTGCCCACAATTCACTTTTGAGTTTTGCATATTATTTGTATGTTACAAGTGCATGATTTTTTCCAGAGTCATTTCGGGTGACAGCTAGGACCCCCTAGGCCTGCATCATTGTGCTCAACTTGACTAAGAAGACATATATTCTTCTAGAAGAAGGCAATAACAGGAACCATTTTTTTAAAAACATTCAGCTACATGTAGATCAATACACAAAATCTATTTTTGATAACAATGACGTCAGTGTCAATTGACAATCACTGTCAATGAAAGCAAAACAAAAAAACAAAACAAAAAAGTACTTGATGTAAAAGCTTACATTGGGATGGATAAAATGGAAAGCGCTTTGAGGGCCAATGTTGTTTGTAAAGCAAAACATACAGATGGAATCAGGAACTTCTGTGCCCTACRAATAAACGGAACATAATGAACATATAATATCAATCGACTGACTGTATATTTGCAGTTAAGAATTGTTGGTATAGAAGGCAATACATGTAGTYATCTTCATGCTCTCCAGAGTCATCCTCAAATGCATCCATGCCTTGGCATCAAAATGACTTGATTACTGAGGGTGCAATGATAGACACCTCTGGTGTGGAGCCAGTGAGCAAAGTTTTTTCTTCAGTGCAAAGCCATAGTTTCATATCAGGATGGCTTTTAGATAGCTGTGAAGGAAACTATCARCAATGTAAAAGGATAGTTACCTATCGATTGAATACTTTGGAATATCCAAAACTCCAACTAATCGCAAACTTTCCAATATGACTGCTGTTACAGTGACTTGTGTAAGCATTAGTACATTAGGAAAGTGGAATCCAAAAGACGTTAATAGGATCTAAAAACATATAGAATTTTTTAAAAACTGGGAAAACTTGATTTGGTGAAGAAAATATTAAAACTGTTTAGGGAGAAAACTTTTCAGGAGCGTTACAATATTCCCTGGCATAACAAATCGTGCTAATTTTCTATGCAGGGGTATATTTAACTAAATGGATAGCTCCCGACYGGAGCTGTTTTATAATGAGATCTCACCTTGTTAATGAAAGACATTGAACCAGAGACAATTCCATAAAAGAGCGCTGCAAWAAGACCTGGAAGGAAGATTTTAGAAGGCTGTACATCTTCAAATAATCCTGCATCAAAAAACGCCAATTTCTTTGTGTCCTTCTTTGAACTTTTTTCGTCTTCCATATCTACCTAAGTTATCAATGTCGACTCTATTTAAAAGAGATTTATATAAAAACCACATTGACAACCCGGTATCCTCAACGTGTCACCATGGACTTCGTGATCCCAAAGTCGATCCCAATATTTTTCTGCATATTAATTCTCGAGATGTTATCGATTGATCAGCGATCGATATGCATTCATCAATACACTTTCGGTCCTTTCGAAATRTAGGCATATCTTCATTCATACTTAGTAATGATAAATTTCCTATATATTTTATTGATTTGCATATCAGTTTGAATTTGGGAACTTTTAAAGCAAASTATGCTGTGAATTAGGGAATTACAGTGCTCGGATTTTTATCGGCGTTTTGTCGTTTAGTTCGTAATTCTACGGTATTTTCTCGATAATAAGAGGAGAAATTTGATTGGCTACTTTTTTTCCTTGGCTGATCACGACGGCGCGAAAAGTAGTCGGGCTTCTTCTATTTCAAAATTTGGCGTTTGGTCATTCAGAGTTCTTGTATACTTGGCCCGAGTTGGTAGGTTTTTTCAAGAATTTCAGCCATTCCAATGGACCTTACCGGTGTCCTCGAAGCCACTGTCTCTCCAGGTACTWTACTCCTGTAGTATTACAAAATGTTTTGYTAAAATGTCGATTGAGGATAGTTTTTGAGCGSGAAGGCACATGGCCGATAACGTTACATCAAACTCAAATTCTACCGGCTTAATTCCATAAAATTCACATTATGGCTTTTCTTCACTTGTTGTTAGATCTAAATGAGCTACAGGCTGCACAGAAATACTTGGAGCAAGCTGCCGTTGCAAGTTTAGTAAGTAAAATGTTCTTGTGGACTGCTGATGAGCAAACGGTTGTTGAGGAATGTGACGATGAAAATTACCGTGCACTTTTCATGGTAACTTAACCAGTATTTAAATCCTCTTTGACAGCCACAGTTTTTGGTTGCCTTGGCCTCTGAATTGAAGAATGTTTCGAAGTCTCAAGTTGCCCGAATGGCGGCGGGTTTACAGCTTAAAAATCAGTTAACATCGAAGGATCCCAATGTTAGAGTTCAATTTCAGCAGAGATGGCTCACTTTGGACAGTACGATCAGAATTCACGTACGACAGTCGGTAAGAAGGAAACATATAATTGATTTTCTCTTTCTTTTGAAATTATTTTGCGTACTCTGTTTTTGTACATTTTATTGGAAAAGTACAAATAATGTAAAACAATACAAATTCAATTCTCCTCTGTCTTGGTAAGGTKATTGAAACACTTGGAACAGAAACTGCCCGGCCGGCCATTGCACCTCAAGTAAGTGGCGTACTTTATAAACAATCCGATTTGAACATTATTCCTRAATTACTTTATTATCCAGCAAAAGAAAAGAGTCAATATTACCATTAAATTATTTATGAAGAAATGATTTAAGTTTAATATGTTTTCCTTGATATTAAAAATATGTTAAAATTTAATGAATATAATAATAAATAAAATAGAGATAGTATAATCCAACATTAACTAGCATACAGTCAACTCTCCCTAAYATGGACACCCTTGGGACCGTAATCTAGTGTCCACAGTAGYGAGAGTCCGTASTAATGGGAGTTACTTTCAATCATTTCTTTGTATTTTTMGTCGAGGATTCAGTATTTAGTGTGCGTAATATTGAGAAGTCTGTAATAGTKGGGTGTCCGTAAGGCGAGAGTTGACTGTATTGGGTTTTATACTCCTGTCAATCAAAACTCTGAACTGCCACTGATTTCAAGGTCCCCATTAAAAACTGAATGAAGGGTGATGTCTGAGGTTAGGTTTATACCAGGATAAATACTGATTGGCAGTTTATTTGAACATTGGATTATCAAAAGTTGTTATAAAATCAAGCATGGCAGTATGATATTTTCAGCTAAAATGTTTATATTACAGTAGAATTGGACATTGCTTTCTTTTCATGCTAAGATTCTGACCAAACAGAACTGCAGTATATATGAAAATTGCATTATAACATCCCTATTTTTTATGAAAACAGCAATTCTGATTGCAATGCCCTTGTAGTTAAATGCAGTATATTTAYTTATCATATGTGCTCATTATTACTTTATTCAACTTTATTCAACAGTGTATYGCAGCTATTGCTTGTGCAGAGATCCCAAACCATGAAAATTTAGAGTTAATTGAGACATTAGTTGTTAATGTGACCAACTCTCCCAGAGACTTAGAGGCACTAAGGGAACAGACATTAGAGGCTATTGGATACATATGTCAGGATATTGTAAGTTAGACTGTTTTGCCATATTTCTTACTTAAGACCACCTAAAATATTATTAAAGGGAACAAAAAAAAGCAGTTGTTTACTGAATTTTAGTTCCTTAGTGCTATATATAGCAKCCCAGAATAAGTATGTTTATTTCCAGATCATTGCAATCGCGGCAAGTCCTAAAAAATCAATGTTTTTTTTTGTGGTCATAATATTATAAGCTTTTATTATAATACATATTGATGAGATACCAGGGTTTTTTTCTAGTTGTGAAAATGCAATATCTCGTACCATAAAAAGATATCATATCTTTCACATGTGAAGATATCACCTTGCATGGTGACACTTTTTTTGTTCAATTAGATCAATATTTAATAGATATTGTACTAGATCAATAGTTCAATATGTATTATATAATAAATAGAACATTACAAGGCTGCTTAGAAATACTAATTTTAAATGCTAACTCGTGAGATATCGTTTGAACACTCGAAGATAAAATTAGTATTTCCAAGCAGCCATGTAATGTCGTCCATTTATTATATGGAATGTTTGTTCATTGTTGTTGTTTTCAGGACCCAGAGCATTTGGTCACCATGGGAAACAAAATTCTTATGGCTATTATGCAAGGCATGCAAAAAGATGAACGGAGGTATRCTTCAAATTCATAGATTAGACAGTGCAGCAAATTTGTAGAGCATYAMCAATTGTAAGCACTTTAGAGACCATGCTTAAGTTAAGGAAAATAATTGAATAGAAARGAAACAATGAGTGGTAGTGAAGGGTTAAAATCAATAGCAACCTACAGTAGGTTGAACAAACAAGAGACACTGGTTCTGACCAATCAGAGYGCACATAAGATAAATGGTATCATGTGCTCGTGTGTACGTTAATAACACAGTTCTCAACCATTCCAAAAGTGTGTAATATACTTAATATTATATAAATTTTAATAAATATAAATGCAAGATGACGTAACATATGATATTGCTTCTTGTATTCATATTTTGAAGGTTATACATTAAGATAACTTTGTATTTGGAAAATCTAGATTTCTTATCATTCCTTTATCATATGATGCCTTCATTTGATGCAAATTAGAGAATTAGAAAGCACTAGACCAGTTATAAATAAAGCTGCTTTGATGTATTTTTTTTTTTCAGTGACAATATTCGACTGGCTGCTACAAAAGCTCTGCTTAACTCYTTAGAATTTACCAAGAAAAACTTTGAAACAACGGTAGGATATTTTCAGCAAATCTGTTTATTTTGTATTTATTTTTGAGTCTTTCTTGATACTTATTAAATTTTTTAATTTTCTCTTTTTTAAAAGACTGAAAGAAACTACATCATGGAAGTTGTTTGTGAAGCTACACAGAGCACTGAAACATCAGTAAGACCAACTTACACAGCTCAATTTTTCCTAAAACTTTAGTCTACATGCTTGGAACCTCGTCATATCCCTGTCAAGAGTCAGATCCTCACAGCTATTACTTTCTGTTCAACAAACAAACGTGCTTTAGTTTGATGAGAAATTGTACATTTTGAAGTATTAAGATTGATTTTGACAGTTGAACAGAAGTTTCCTTGACATTAGAGACATTTTCTTTTCTAATGATGTTCAACATGATAACTTGCTTCTTCTTTGACTTGTTCTTTCTCAATATTGTCCTTYATAATGCGATAACTTGTTGCAGATAAAAGTCGCAGCATTACAGTGTCTGGTYAAGATAATGTCTCTATATTATCAACATATGGAGGAGTACATGAAGATTGCATTGTTTGCTGTGAGTACAATAAAAAATCAAGCTTATTCTTACTATCATRTAAGATAGTATTGAAAAGGTTGATTTGTTTTCTTTACCAGATAACAGTAGAAGCCATAAAATCAAGCTGTGATGAAGTTAGTCTTCAAGGCATTGAATTCTGGTCAACAGTCTGTGATGAAGAAATGGACTTAGCAATTGAAGCTGCTGAGGTAAAACAGTATTGATGAATTCTTGTTAACTGCAAAAATTGGAAATGACTGACATATTTCTCTGTGCTAGGCTCAAGAACAAAACAGAACCCCAGAGCAAACAAGTAGATTTTATGCCAAAGGTGCTCTTCTACATCTTGTTGGACCATTAACAGATTCACTGAAACGCCAGGCAAGAAGCTCGTTTGATATTTATTTTGTATTCTAATTTCATCCTTATTTAATTTTGGTATATTGTAATTATTAWATAATGTTTATTGAAGTAACATGTACATTATGATCATCCAGGTGGATGTATTTCTTAGAAGAACTTTTTGATGTGACTGATGTTTTGASCACCTATGCGGTAATCATTTTCAAAGTCAAGTGAGGAAACATCCAGCCAGATGATCATAATGTATATGTTACTTCCATAAACACTCACTCACCTGGGTTCAGACCTTTCAACACTGTAATTAKTATATAGCTGGTGTGAACCAAACCTAAMCTTGTTTGTATTTGTTAGGAAGAGTTTGATGATGAAGATGATTGGGTTCCTTCTAAAGCAGCTGGAGTTTGTTTAATGTTGCTGGCTCAGTGCTGTGAAGATGATGTTGTTGCTCCTGTATTGTCATTTGTGCAATCAAACTTTCAAAGTGCTGATTGGAGAGACAGAGATGCTGCCATCATGGCATTTGGTAAATTTGTTAATAAGCTACATGAAATGAACTGAGTATAATTCTTGATACATTTATTGTTTAATTACTTGCATGCTTGTAAACCATCACCTGAAAGCACATTATTACCAATTCTGAATGTAATGTTGTATTTCAGGTGCAATCCTGGAAGGACCTGATAGTGCTGCTTTAGAACCTTACATTACTAGTGTAAGTTACCAGCAAGGCATTTCATAAACATGGAGAATTTAGATTAAACCATGCTTGTTTTCTCAGGCCTTATTACCAGTTCTGTCTGAAAGAATGGCTGATCCAAGTGTGGCTGTAAGAGACTCTGCTGCTTGGGTTATTGGCCGAGTCTGTGAACTAATGCCTCAGACAATTATCAATGATAAATTCCTGAATTTGATAGTAACAACTCTTATCCACAACTTAACAGCAGAACCAAGAGTTGCGGCTAATGTTTGCTGGGTGAGTGACTTTCATTCCCTCCCTCTTTACTTCCTACTTTCCTTCCTTCCCTCTTTACTTCCTACTTTCCTTCCTTCCCTCTTTACTTCCTACTTTCCTTCCTTCCCTCTTTGCTCCTACTTTCCTTCCTTCTTCTCTCATTTCTTTTTAAAACGTCTACACATGGTGCCACTCTCTTTGGTTACAATTGTTGACCTCACACAGTATCCAAAATACCCTGCGAACAGATAAACTTCAATAAAATTTTGCGAAGGAAAATTGCAGGGTATATCCAAAACAGACTTCCATTCTGTTGAAGGAAAATATCATCATACTCTGGAAAAGCAATTCCCATTTTAATACCATGGCCAATCTCCTAGATTCATCATTGTTTATAACTTTTCTCTTAACATTTTGTAGGCCTTCAATTCTTTGAGCGAAGCAGCGTATGAAGCTGCTAGTGATCCCAATGTCGATGATGAACCAGCAACATATTGTCTCTCAAGTTACTTTCCAACAATTGTTGAGAAACTTCTACAGGTGACAACAAGGTAGGTGATATAAAAACCTTGGCGATCCAATAGATTTATGAGTGCTCTGCCCTTTAGAGCTGGTTTTACATAACTATTGTATAAGATTTGATTGTATTTCTTGATGTAGGCCGGATGCAAACCAATGTAATTTACGTAGTGCAGCTTACGAAGCAGTGATGGAGTTGATCAAGAATAGCGCAAAGGTTTGGATTCAATAAATGCTTCATTGATACCTTCAACTGGTTGATTTTCTTATCTTAAACTGCATTTTATCAGGATTGTTATGCTGTWATTCAAAGTACTACACTTTTCATCATAGAAAGATTGCAACATATTCTACAAATTGAGGTAAATTAGTCATATAAGTGAAATAATCTACATTATTGTGCATCAGAATAATTATTATTCAATACTATTCAGTTTCCAAATTGTCTCTAACGAAAATTGTATATTGAAATTGTATATTGAAAAAATGAACACCTAATTGCAAAATGGCGTAGAGAAATAGATAGGAAAAAAAATGAAAGCTCACTCAGACCAAATGCTTTCTTTTTTCCTTTTAATCTATTACTTTTTACTAAAGTACAAATTGCCTAATTTTCTTTATAACAACATTTTTGCATATACAACAAATGTTGCTGTAAAAGTTGTCTTGCTCAGCTGGTGTTWTTGTTTTTAGAAACAAGTCCAAAACAMTGAAAGAAGCCAATACAATGATCTTCAGTCATTACTCTGTGCAACATTACAGGTGAACATAAAATATTATCTAATATTGATGTACATGTGTCATATATGTTTTCTCTAGGTTTTCATTACCTGAGTGGAACTGTACAATAATACCCAGAACTATGAATGTTTTCAATACCTACAGTTCTGTACCCTCATAGAGCGCATTTTGTCACAGCAATAGTCACTGAACCAAGCCTGGTTTTCATATCAATATATTACTAGTAATTTCTTGTGTAACAAAAATGATAGTTGCAGTGTAAATAATAATCTAAGCGATTATTAGTAATTTCTTGCAGCGAATGCTCTGTTTTTACACAGTCATACCAAAGTTGCTTGAAGTAATGCAAAWTCTTTGATTTGAAACAGAGTGTCCTAAGAAAGATCAATCCAGAAGATGCCCAGCAAATTGCTGATCCCATTGTGAATGCACTGCTTCAAATGTTCGATGCCTCCACAAGAGAAAACATCAGTGGGACTCAGGAAGACGCATTAATGGCTGTAGGAACTTTAGTAGAAGGTAGAGTATTCTTTTCAATAATTTGTCAATATATTTGAAATATTCCTACTCAAAGCAAGGACTGCTCTATTAAAGCGTGTGTAGTGACCATTTATGAAATTATTATTTTTTCAGTGATTGGTGTTAATTTTGTTAAATACATGGATCAGTTTCTGCCGTACCTGGAGGTTGCACTAAAGAATATTGCAGAATATCAGGTTTGAAAAAGAAGAAGCAAACTATGAGCAGAAATGGAGCTACTCATCTTTTGAACCCTATACCAGGCTCRGCATTTGATTCTCTGTGGTTTGCTAAAGCCAGAGCTACTGTACCTAAGAAATACTTTCTGATTATTTTTGCCAAGATATTGTTCTAAGATAGTTTTGTTTGTTTGTGTGTCCAGGTTTGTATTGCAGGAATAGGTCTTGTGGGTGATTTAGCAAGAGGACTWGGAGCAAACATTACGAAGTACACAGATTTGTTTATGGACATYTTTTTAAGACATCTTGCTGTGAGTAGTATTGCTCTTTTAAATGACTCTGATTGAGACTAGAAATTCATGTCTTATGTTATTGTTGCAGGATGAAAATGTTCACAGATCTGTGAAGCCTCACATTCTATCAGCATTTGGCGACATTGCTCTTGCAATTGGCAAYTACTTCAATAAGTATTTTGATCTTGCTATAAGTGCATTAAAAYTGGCTTCTGAATTTAGAGTTGACAAGGTATGATGGTTGAAGATAGTTGATCTTGTGTTCCATTGCTACCATGTTAGTAGTTCTTGTTATAGAGGATTACCGTTACCTTTATATTTCTTTTAGCCTGATTACGATATGATWGACTACATWAATGAGTTGCGTGAGGCWTGTCTAGAGGCCTACACTGGAATCATTCAGGGACTCAAGGGTGACAATGAAAAAGCTGTCAGTCGTAAGTGCTCCAAATTCTATTTTGAGATTATCCTTTTTGTGCTATAATAACAAAAGCCTCCTGTATTTGAGATATTATAATATTGAGGGCTGTAATGTACTTAGGTGAGACTTTTCTTGAGGAAGCATTTAGAAAAAGATGGTTCATTTAAGTTTTGTAAATAAGTGATCATGTCATATTAGGAAGTTATTGCATAAAAAATGCTCGTAAAATTGCACATGAAATTGATCATGCATTCAGTCCAGTGCAAGTTTTCTTGTTTTAACAATCAATCAATCAAAGGCTTTGCATGTCGGTATTGTACAGGGCTCTTTTTGTGTCATTTGAACAGTACTTTACTGAAGGTTGAGGATGATTGCATAGAAATCAACCAATGTGCTGTTGTATGACATTTTTGTCTAATGGAAGGATTTTCTTTCATAGCTGACGTCCAAATAATGAAACCTCACATTGCACATATTGTTATATTCTTGGAGTTAATCGCTGAAGACCCAGAAAGATCTGAAGGAACAGTAACATGTGCCAGTGGACTCATCGGGTAACTGTCTAAACTTGTTTTTGATTTATCAACTGTTAAAATACCACTTTTCTGTCAATTTCCAGGCCAGAAGCCTTTCCATAAAAACTAAAACCAATTGCATTGCAGAGGAATATTTCCACCCCCTTCTATGAAGAAGGAGGTGAAAAAATTCCCCTGCTTACAGGGTATTGCTTTGTGGACTAGGTGGGCCCATTCAGTGGTCATCATCTATCAGATAATAATATTGAATGTTTCTTTCTGCAGGGATATCTGTGAAGCATTTGGTGGAGTAGTGCACCCCATGTTAGACAAACCAAGTATTAATGAACTATTACAAGAAGGAAGAAGATCCAAGAACTCCAAAACTAAACGAGTTGCCACRTGGGCATCACGGAAGCTGCGGGCCTTGAAGCAGCTTTAGTTTGTAAGTATAATCATTGTAATCATGAATACCTGATCATGTTATTGTTCCTATTTGTTACATCCACACACTTTGTAAGGTTCAAAAAGATTGGTATCAGGTTACATATATTGCTATTATTTGTATATTAACCATTTCTTGAAGATGAGTTCATGTTTATTTTTGCACAAGCAGTTTTCAGGAAATAAAACACTATTGCTATACACAATATTGTAAGAATTTGCCTTCTCATGCTTGTTTTATGTGTTCATGTTGTAAGTTCTAAAGGTGTATGCAATGTGTGAATATTTCCTGTGAGACTTGAGTCACAAGTTTGATGTAGTAAATCGCTCTGAACCCCTTTTTCCTTTAACATTTCAGACCAAGAGGAGAGAGCTACTGTGAGAGAGCGAGCGTGAGCGCAATTGCGAGTGTGCGTGAAACTGGAGACGGATGTGGAGATTCAAGGACTTCATCTGACTGGACAACGTACAGACACACACATCACTTACCACAGTTGTCTGCAAGAATTGTGAAGATAGATGCAGAAAATACCACACATTACAAAACACCGATTTTGGTGGTACTTCAAACCGACAGAATTGCMGAACTAATGTTCAATAAAATGCCATGTTAGAGTGATCTTACTTTGAAAATTTGTCCTGCGCAGAATTATTTTGTAAAATTATCACAACAAATCCCTTTTGACATTTTATATAAGGGATTTCAAATTTGGAGACTAGTAAAATCACTCTGATAATGGGCAAAATATCTCCTTTCCATGAGATAAAAATGAACTCGATTTGATATTATAAAATTACAGTGATGTACACAATGTTAAACCATCTAAGAATACCTGATGCCAGTGAAAGTAGAGTATCCTTATAGTTCAGTATAAATTGGTGCCAATGGTCATTTTTAGATTTTGTGAATGAATTTAATTTGTCAGATACAGTATTAATTGTGAACTACATGAGTTTTCAACTTGTAGTTGGTAACTTGCTGTAATAAAAATCTTCTGAAACATCTCTGTAAAATGTTGTCAAGTCATTTTATTGTTCAATTAATAAATGTCCTGTTACTGACAAAAGTGACGAACCGATCTGGTTCTGTTTCCAGTAGTATCCAGCAGTTCTCTGAACATAGATGCTTACAACATAAGCTGGAAGTGAACTTAAAACAATAGAACACAAAGGAATGGAAACGAGGTCCAAGGTCCCTGCAGGAGTTAAGATGGYAAATATCAGGGGATTCCATTCACTTGAGTTGTGTGAAGCGAAAGAACATTTTATTGCTTCTTGTTAAATTCAATAACAATATTTTTCAAAAGCCGACTTTAGATGATATTTTGGTTCAGTGACCMTGCACAAAAGAATTGCAGACGAGGCTCYGGGGAAATAACAGAATAAATCAAGATCATCYATTGTTTTCCTGGAGCCTCGTGTGCATTMTTTTTACATAGTCATCGAACCAAAATATCTACAGTTGACTATTCCTAAGCTACTTCTGCTTTATGTCGTAASCATGTATCTTGAAATGTGGATGTGCCTTTGCAAGAACTCTTAAAATACAGTCTTTGAACATTAATTTTATGCACAATACTCTGCCCCACTTTCAAGATGATGCTAGCTGAGARTGAAGGAGACAATTACCAGAATGGGCCCTGTCCAACAGACAACACCAAGATTTCTTTAAATGTAAAACTCATTCTGTATAATAATATTATTAATAGTCTTGATAAGTTCTGATAAAAAGCATTGTTCACGATTCTCTCTGTCACACGTGTAGCCTGAGTATTGGGTTCTCTYGAAGGGGACTGGAGCTCAACCCTTTTTGAGAGAGCCTAAGACTCTTGGCTATGTGCCTAAGTTACGTGAAGTCCAAGATCACTGCATGCAACAATAAAAAACCTTGCATAGCAGCAATTATTCACAGGTATCCATCAAAGCTATTGATGCAAAGGCATAGAAACTCTTCAAGATGGTGTARAGAAACATGAAGGGGACAGGAATCAAAATGATCAGACCGAGAGCAGRTGACAATGAAATGGTTACATAAAATGAGGTTACACTAAGATAAACTACTCAAACAATCATTTTACTTTAATAATGATAATACTTTACATGTAAAATAATTATAATATAAAATTTAATCAAGTAACCAATGGTGTATATTACTGTTTATAATCCTAAATAACTCCAAAATAAATAATATGGGGAAATAACATAATATAAAGCTTTTGATCAAAATTGATTATGATTTTGTTTTTTTTTATTGAAAGTGCATCAACGCCAAAATATGGAAATTATTAGATTTTTTTGGAAAAATAAATTCAAAATAACATATTTACAATACTAAAGTGTAATTTTAATTGAAATTAATCTGTGAAATGAAAAAACGCTCAACCTGTTTGCAATATTTTGTCCGATTTAGGAAACAGTGTTCACAAAAAACATTGGAAATATTCAAGTGGTTCTGCTTTAGTTAAACTAGTGCAACCCTAAAGTTAYTTGGGCCATGGTCCAACAGCAATCAAAGTGGGACCTTTTTTAGAWTTTTCATATAGGGAAAATGAGGTGACTTCAATTTAGAAATATTTAGCCTAAATGCAATCTGATTCAATCTATCGTTTTTTCTTTGAACATTACAATATCTCCATATAGCATAAAATGAATAATAGAGAGTATGTTTTTGATTATATTATAATGCAAAAAGGTATTAGGTGAACCATGCCCTTAAAGGTGATGAAAACCCTCCACTCACTATGGTATTTTCTTCCCATTTTCTACCCACACTTATTTTAATTCTACCTCTCTATTTTGTTTTTTACTTAGTAACAGAYGATTTTTTGTATGGCGTCCATTCATGCATGTGGGTATTTTTCCAAAGCTCCCCTTAATTTTTGCTTGCAATTTTGAATGTTACTCTAAACTGTAAGTTCATAATACAAAACATGGCGAGAAAAAAACAATAAAGAAAAAGAGTAGGCTMTTGCAGTTTCTAGAACTCAAATCTCTCATAGAGAGAATGTTAATTTGACATGAAGTTGCCAAATGTGTTTGAAAAAAAAAATGAAATTGAAAACATGATTATATATCAACAATATGTACAGACTGAACATCTTCAAAATTGAAACCCTGAGCCTTTTTTGGAATGGWAATGTTATGACTATGATGACTATATAGTCTTATTCCCCAAAATATCCTGTATTAAACACTGTACTAAACACACATTAACACTACCAAGGCTGGGRTTAACAACAAGAATGATCGATGAAAAAAGGACATTCAGCTATTTCAAAAAACGTTGTCATGGAGAATGGTGAACAGCAATTGTTGAAGTGGGATTATATGGCCGAAAGGGACTATGGTTTAAAAACTCTTTTGATAAACAAAATTTCACTTATTGGAATCACCTTACATAGAAATGGAGTCAATGTTTACCACAGACCATCTTACAGCACAAATCAGTTGYTATTGCCTTTCAACCAGCAAAACCCATGGCTACTTTTGGTCATGCAATTGCCGTTCGACCACTGACATTTGCCATTTTATCCGACAACCTTTTTTGAAATAGCTATAACCTATTTCAGATGACGATGCACAAGACATAACAGCCATGAAAACTGTTTCCCATTGATTAGAAAATTAATGTGAATTTGGGTTATATTTCACGAAGACGATTGATTAACAATGGCCAGGGTTCTCAACTTGAATGATTATATATGCGAAATTTGGGGTCTTTACATGGGAGACCAGGGCCAAAAATGTTGAGACTCCACCTGGCCATTATCTAGGAGYGGTGGGACCTATTCTACTTGAAAATATAGRTGATTTTTATAACACATTAAAAAAGCCACTTGTATAGATCTTTTGCATCAATAGGTAACATGAATACACTCCATTTAAAAGCTCATCAAAAAATGAGTTTGTGGTAATGAAACCTGCTGAGCGGAGGATCTTGATATAGATCATTCCCAAAAGGTTTACTGTTGCATCTGTTTGGCCACAGCCAAGTACATACTCGCCTGAACCTGGAATATTTCAAGCACTGCAAAGTCTGCAAGTAAGAGGCCAAAAGCTGATGGGATGCATCACTGAGTTAAGTGTTTGTCTCATTTTTAACTTGAGGAGGAGGCCCACTGAATGAAGTGCTGTCCTGGATTTAAGTTTACCTAAAAATTTGTTCAGTGCTAGAGATTTTGCCACMAGATTGATGTAGCAGGATTGAGAGGAAMTCATGATTGAGAAAGAAAGATAACTAGATTTAAATTATCCATATTAATGTTATCAGCCTCCTCTTTCAGTTTTTGGACGCTAATCTGAAGTAAATGTAGCTTGTTGATTTGCAGGAGGTGTGGTCATGGGATTGATGCAAAAGACCTATTATGGAGCTTACAACCTTAGCAAAATAGAGGCCACAAAGAAAACTACTTAAAAGACCTGATAATTGCCATTTTTAACATGGACAGAATATAGGGCACTTGTGTGAGATGATGTGCTTCTTTAACCATCGATGTGCATGAAGATCATTCCTCTTCCGTGGAAAGTAGTTATGAAAGCCTATTAAAAGTAATCAGAAAAGTCAATAATCATTGTGCTGACTGTGAAAATCAATTATTTCATGCTTACCCATATCATGTAATTTTGTGTGTTTGCGCAGTTTTGTGGGAGTGTCGAACGAATAGTGACATCCTCTTTCTTTACATCTGTAAAACAASAAACAWATTTTGTACAACAATAATTAATAATGTTACTGTTAATTCATAATAATCTTTGAAGAAAGAACTAACCTGAAAGGTGTTTCTTTTGTGTGAACATATGTGTGAATCTTCAAGTGGTTTCTTTTGTTGAATGTCTTGTCACATCCTTCATAAGTACACTACAAAGAAATACTGAATGTATACTAACTCTTATATATACCTATTAATAATTTTTTAACTTGTACTGAAGTTTAACAAATCGACTTGCAACATTGGCACAAGAGTTTGAATGCTATAAATGATTTTATTTCATATCTGTTAATCAAGGAAAGTTGAATTCTTACAATTGAGGGAACATTTGAAAATTGTGGCAAAATGATAAGTTGTACAGGAACTTTTCTATCTTTTTTTAATTTTATCTTTCATTAGAAATATTGACATGTATTACACAGCTATATTAATATTATCATAGTCATCTATTCTATTAGACACTGTCAATCAGAACTCAGACTAAACCAAAACATCATGCAAAATTAAAAGCTAACGTAACAATGAAATAAACTGATCTACCAGCTCTGATCCATTTCTGTTGAGACATGATGATTATTTTTTACTTGAACATATTTACCTTGAATGGCCTATTGTGTGCTCTTTCCTGGTGCCTCTTCATGAAATGCTTTGTGGTAAACATGAGATTGCAGCCRGCATAAGAGCAACTGCATGTACRAATTGAATGATTAATAATGTGGATGATGTGCAAACACTCACATATACTGCTAGCAWAGATGGGTCTAAATACCGATATGATGATTTACATTACAGGAATAGTAAATTATTGGACAAAATTATGTTACTATGAGCAGGTTTACATGCTCTCATTGCACATTGTATATTATGTTATAATCATAATGCAATACATCAAATGAAGCTTTACAAAGTAACATTATTTATCATATAATTATCTATAAAATACCTATATTTCTCCATCTCGTAACATAGAATATTACATGTTCGCTTGGGGATACAAATTTTATCTTCKSGTGTTGAAAATCTCTCTCTTCTCTACGCTCACTCGTGAGAGATCTTTTCAACACCCGAAGATAAAATCTGTATCTCYGCATGCCCATGTAATATCCTCTATTTATATAATGACTATTGCAGGGCTCTGAGTAATATAGCTCATATCAGTCATTATTGCAACAATAATATTACATTGAACAGGCATAATAATTTAGTCTAGAAAGCAAAAAATATGCCAGCGTTTTATATGCAATATATATTATACTACACAAATATAATAAATTATTAAACATCATTATTATATTATTATATACCTGTAAGGTTTGGTTCCATTATGACTGAGTAAATGTCGCTTCAGATGCATTTCTCTCACAAATGTTTTATTGCATTCTGTACACAAACATGGTCTCTGTTGATTCATTACAAAATAAACATTTTTCAAAACCTTTTAATGGTCAGTTGGTTGATTTATGTGATGGCTTTAAATCTCCCTCTACTAACTATGCTTTAATGCCAGGAATCCGTTACCAGTTGACACTACTCTATATGTGCTAGGCACCATTATGGCATGATTTTCAACTAAGAGTGGTATTTATGGGCGTTTTGTCTGGAATAAGGTATTTGCTAGCCTCCTTTAGCAGCTGCTCCTATGTCGTCATGCAATGAAGGGGGATGCCTGACGACACAGGGGCRGCTGCTAAAGGAGGCTAGGTATTTGCATCTTTGTAGGCTTGGCTTCCCAGGCAACTCTTCACTAGTTTTTCTCGGTTAAGATTATCATCACAGGAAGACCAAAGGATCAATTTCAAATGGAGTGAGCCTCCAAAAGTCTCAAAAGAAATGAATATCTACTTATTGATTTTGCATTACAACTATAGTTTGGAACATGGTGGTGTACGAGTATTAGGTTGGGTCTGGTCTCAGCCCTCCCTGGGTTAGGAATAGTAAAACTTCTTTATAGTATATATAATCAATAATTAGATAATATGTATAAGTATAATTAGTAGTTTCTTTATAAAAAATATTGCGACTATAGATATAAACTTCAGATCAGACAAACTTTACATATTATCGTACATAAGTTACAAAGTTCTTTCAATGTTGTTACAGAATTTCATCTGCAAGTTTACGTTTGAACGAATAACTTTGCGGAGGTTCGCAAACAGGATTCATTTCTAGTCAAAAATATATTGAAATGGMGGCTTTTGTCATTGTTKTAATGAAAGAACTAGTTTGGACAAGCCCTAAATTTTCCACGTGTACAAAGATGATCCAGATTCCTTCGTTCTAGAAGAGATTCTGACTTAAAATACAACATGTATTCCTTGAAAACATACCTCTCCAGTGTGYGATCGCTTGTGCTCGATCAACCTTTGCTTTTTCTTGAACTTTTTCCCACATCCTTTAAAATCACACACATTTTCCCCTGATGATTCCGCCATGTTTGCAAACAAAATGTTAATGTCCGCGCGCCGGTAATTTGCATATTAGACCCCAGTTTGCGCGCTTTATGGAAGGAACGCCTGACGATAATTGACAATATAGCGGAGCGAACGCTTTTTGATAGTCTTGAAGGCCAAAAAAGGTTGCTTATTATGTGAGCTTAATTCTCCTTTGAATTCCGTTATATAAAAAGYATGAATCACTGTTCTTTTTGTCCTCCTACAAACTTGGTACCGACTGATAGCGGTGCAGTGGGTGATCATCCAAGACCAACAAATGATTTATACAACAATGCCTGGTRTCACTACCAATCGTATTTATACTACTGGAACCTTTAYAATGCACACAATTCACAGAATTTTCCTTTGTGTGAATGCTATGAAGACACAAGACAAAGTTTCCAACATCAGTCTTTTGGATTTGCAAACGGATGCACTGATTGTTCATATGATAATGTTAACCCCAATGAAGGGTATTTTGACACTGGTAATGCTGGAGAACTTACAGACATGACTTATTATAAGGGTGAAACTTTTAGTCAAGAATGCACYSGTGAAGATGCTGATGATGAAGATGAATTTGAAGTTGATGAGAGTTTCTACCAGTTTCTCAAGCAGTCTCAAAAACACAAAAGAGAGAGAGAGAAATGTAACGTATTTATTTCTATATTTAACATACAAGGATTCCATTTTATGTGCGTCTGTACTCTAAAAGATATACAGAACATAAAAGTCGAGTGATGCAACTGTTGTTCTCATCACATTTTGACATCTTCTATACATCTATTAAAGTATAGACGCATAAACAAATGAAATCTATTCATTTAATATTAATAATAATACATATTCCATCCATAGTGAAAAGAGAAGCTGCAAAAACAGATGAATATATTGAAGGTAAGATTATATCACCATTTTGGTTGTAAGGTGAGTCTGTACCTCAGCCCTCTCTCCAATCAAATGCCTMTATGTTATTAAACAACATTGCTGTAGCAACATATTTTTTTGAACACTGTTCAATTTTTTTTACCATGCTACAAGGGGTGACAAGGGGTTGATAGGAAGGACCACCCCCTGAGCTAAAAACCCTTCTCATCAAGCTTTGCACCAAAGAAATCTTTTGTGACATTAGTGACTGAAATTAGAATAAGATTGTATACCTTTATCATTTCACAATTTCTTTTTTAGTTGGTAAAAAGCAAATAAATGCTAGCACTCTACCACCTGAAGAACATCAACAAGCAAAGAGGAAGAAGGATATGGAGAGGCTTTATGGTGACAAGGCATCATTCATTATGTCATTGGAAGCTTCATTGCAGTTACATTTTGACAGGAATTTTGATGTGAGACAACCTGTGTTTTGGCCCAATATTCCTTTAAAGTTTTAAAGTTTTTAATAAAAAAATGTAAGCAAAATAGAACACTTCATATGGTACTGGTATTTGATGTTCAGAGCTTTTTATGTAAATGTCAACATGTCATAAATGTAATGTCCCTTTTACACGGAATCCGGAATCCAAGGTTACACAACGTTGCACAAGGATCACAGAGGGGGATATCATAGGGGGTTGTCATACMACAACACTGCTGGTCCCCCCCTTTTTTTTGTCAACAGCTGCTAAAAATCGATAAATTTTAAGTGTTACTTTTCGATATTCTTATTAAGGTTATAGATATTTCAGAAAATTATCCACACATAAAGGTGCATTGAAGACGTAAACTGTATTGCAAAATCGGCGATTTTCCGCAACCGAGTGATTTCTTCACAACCCGCCACAATAATGAGAGCAATACGAGAAACCGACTTTTAAAATCAGCAGAAAATGTCAAACCTATAATATCCCTCATCTGCACAAAGCTTCCTCTCTTTGTATATTAATAAAGTCTTTATTATATTAATATAGTCACAAGAGAGACAGGAATCCCAAGAGCTACCTGCAGAGTTTGCAATCAAACATCTCGATGGTTTGGGAAAACGTTTAAAGGTCTATAATTTTTGTCTGGATTGCATATGCAATATTATACCTATTCGGAAACCCATGAAGGAAATCGACTCTTGAGGCAGATATATATCACTTAAAGCCCTCTTTAGAGCCCTTCAGGTGCTGAGCACTATCTGTTATCTACTGTCTTAAATTTAGTTTTATATAGCAATGAAGAAATGGAGTACATTATTTACATAACTACTGATCATTGCTAGTTGGATGGTTCTCCAACTTCGTGATTAGTTATACGTTCTTTCCTACAGCGATTTCGTAGGCATTTGTTTAGTTAAAATWAACGATTCCAGAGGCTTTCGTGCCTTTCATCAATCCAACGCAATCGCTATAATTACACGTAATTGATCTTTTTGTTGCGGTTAATCCAAGATTAAATGGCGCAACTAAATATCGCGATATTCTCTCTCACGTTCTACTACTATCCTCTGACCAGTGTTAATATCAGATTGCACAATAAACCAATATACAATGCATTGTGTGGGAGGGTATGTCCAAGCGTCTCTTGTTGCTCTTTAGTTATGTCGAGCGGATATCGTTTACCTCACACAATAAAGAAGACAAGATACTTGAYATATATAACTGCACTGACGAAGTTCCTGATGTTGTTCTACTTATTTCACTTTTATATTACAGGCAGGASTTATATAGAGCTTTTTTTCAAACAACAAATAAAGGCTAATAAACAAATAAATTTTATTATACATTCCACGCACTTAACATTAAAAGAAAAGTAAGGCATCTGAAAGTAATTTATTGGAATTTTTGGGGGTAAAATTCCTGATATCTTACTCGCGTCAAGCGAAAAGCAGGGAGATCTTCGCGAACTGGAAGAATAAAACAGCAAAATGAATGAAGATGAAAAATCGATACCCTCCGGCTACAACAGGTAACYTAAGAAAACTTTTTTTTCGACTATATCTGTATGCGACAATACCTTGCCGGCGATTAATTGATGAAACGACCCTGGGTCTAAATACCATTTTTATCTCATTTTATGGCTTTTCATATTTACAAAGAGAAKTTTATGTTAGAGAAGTTTATGTTAGAGAAGTTAGTATGTCAATCACTTTGTGTATTTTTCCGATTTATTTGATCATAGTTAATATGATTTTATGATTGCTAAGAAATAAAATCTCGTCACTTGATAAGTTGGAATGATAAACGATACTTTTAATGGGAGCAAAAAAAATCACGCGCTTTTTAATAATAGTGACAACGCATCAAGTAGTATACAGTTATGTAACATTTCTCAAAAACGTGCCGTTCATCAGAAAAAGAAAAGCATATCCAAACTAGTAAATTGGATAATGGAAATGAACTTTGGCGCACTTCATTTTCTCTTTAGTCTTTCTCTTTACATCTTTTTTTTTTGTTTCTTTTCTGCGTACTACACTTTAATCATACTATAACACTTTGTTCACGGAGTTCTGATTCATTATAAGCCATGAAATATACTTTAGCGTACTAAAATTGCTCTTAATTATTTTGCACGTTTTTGTCTTTTCGGTGCATCACACAATTTTACACTTTGACACTTTGTTTCACGGCTTTATTATACCAATACAGCTTAGTACGCTCTACTATTTTACATTTTGTTTCACTGATTTAATGACTTTACTTATTGCGCGCTCTTGGATTTGTCAAGAACTGTGTGTTAGTGCAATACACATGCACTGATGACATCATTCAATCTTACGAGCGCTCTGATTGGTTAAAACCTGTGCGCGCGCTTTTCTAATCACATTTCGAAGTCATCTGCGTATCTATTAGCCAGATGCAAGGAAAAATGGAATCTAAACGCCAAACAATAGCTGAATGATCAGAGCGGATTTCCTAAAAATGTACTGAACTACAGCACTTTCGTTTCGTGATTTTACCGTGATACTCAATGATACTCTTGAATTCAGCGTCAAAACCAGGCGAGGTTCCGTGACCGTGTCGCTTCCGTGCGATGATAAGTGCCGTTGCACTGTCACAAGAAATCTGCTCTATGCAAGGGAGCACGACAAACTGTGTTTATGGTATCCTCGATTACGACCGCCATCTTGAATCTAGCACCATCTTGTTTTCTCTTTCGATATCCGAACCGAAGAGATATTCAAGATGGCGGTCTTGATCAAAGAAACATAAAGACAGGGRAAAACGTTGCATATTACCGTGCTCCCTTGAACCAAGAAAAGCATAAAAAAAACATTTACCTTGTTACCAAACCTTTCTCTTCCGAGTGCCATAATACTGTAGGAGAATGTAGTAACTKCAAGCRCTCCTTGTGCGTTTGGGWTTGTTGTGCAACATTGACCAGGGTATGATAGAGTACGAATACTATCACTAGATACATACTGCGCAAAAGCACTAGAATTAGCACTGACGACTAAGCAGGATTTAGTGGGACATGCAGTGTTTGGACGCTACCACATGAAATTTGATAGATATTCCATCATTGGTGAGAAGAAGAAAAAAAGAAACTTGTTATGCAACTCTGTCCTGCTACTATGTTTTTTATTATTAGTTTATTTTTCAATTTAATATTTTTCACTTTTAAAAGACTGCAGTACACTTGAACAATCATAGTGCAAACTGTATGTCTTTTATAAACTCAAGTTCACACTTAAATTGTGACGTTTGACGTTCTGTTAACTTGCAGAGATTTGCAGCACACATTTTGCCGCAACGTTTTTCCAGAGGCGGTTTTCATATCTTTGGGTAGAAAACGTAGCTTTCAAGKTTTCACGGTTAAACGGTTTACGTACTTATGACGCCTGTCACAATAATCGCTTTTTCCCTGTGAGCGGATCCTGTATTAAGTAATAATTGAATGGCGAAATATTCATACAGTCTTATTGTCAATGGTTCAAACTTACAACATGCTAATTACAATGACGTCATGGCTTCATTAGATACACGAGGTTTGAAGGACTCACACGTTCAACGTTTTCATAAACGCTATCTGGTAATGTAGCTACATTACCTACGATCAATTGAATGTCGCCGCGATGAAACCATTTTTAAGTGACTTCTTCAAAGTTCGTATATCAAACAGAACCTTCCTTGACGTCATTGTCATTAGCATAACTAAAAGACGCAACACTGAAATAAAACAATATTTCATCGTTCAATTGTTTACGTTACATAGAATCAGCTCATAGAGAATCAGAATTTATTGTGTCGGGTGTTATAGGTAGTTTTTGTTTCCCAAAAAATTCTTTATAGGAAAATGATCGGCGCGCAGAAAGATTGATGAACGCGGAAAGGTATACTTTGSCGTTAACAGAGTCTCAGGACTTTCAGAGAAAATTGATCATTTTCCGTCGAAAACGATGACTTTATGATTCGTGATAGGCGCATTCAAGCATTATCTTTTGGATCATTGTGACATAGATCCTTTGATTTSGATAAATCCATAAACTCTTTCCTTTCAAATCTATCCTGTGGAGCCGAATTTTGGGATTTTCTGAACGGTCAATCATGCAAAATGGGGCGGAGCTAACTTGCACGCAAATACATTTGATTGGCAAATCACATGAAAAACGTGAAATCCAATTGCCAATGATAGTTGAAAAGATTGAAATATTTTACATTAATCAAAACATTAATGATTTAAACACCTTTTAATTGTCCTCGTTTGAATGCAATAACCGGTTGTCATGACTTTTCGCTTCGACTCCAGAAAGCATTCTAGATTTGTGATCTTTTTTTCTGAACTTCAAGGCTTTTAAGGTCTGACTTGATTCGTTTCAAATGCTCTATACTTCGGCGTGTCTGTGTTCTTCAATGCAGGAGACGATAACCTTTTCATATCAATCCGTGTTGGACGCTATCTCAATAGCATTGTTACACGATACTGACTCACTGACAAAGAGTATACAGGTTRCAAACATACGACAGTCGTTACGTTTGAGACAAAGTTTTACCTAAAAACACAATTCTGCGCCTCATCTCTATTTGTTTACCAGAACTTCCAGTACGCAGGAAGTTTACCAAAGCATGCCTTTGCCTTTTACCGAAAACGGAATAATTTATTTCAAGTGAATGCTAAACAATAAAGCACGAAACAAAGACATTCTTGGAACTCCAGGAATGAGTACCGAATCACTTGATCTTCAAATAACAATTTGTAAACGCAACTCTTGATTAGCAATCTGAAGAATGATTATCTGAAAATCAGTATACATCGACTTATACTACCCCTCAATGTCCTGCCATCGAAATCCAGACGTTCCCACTTAGMAAAAAGTAATTAGAATATTATTTACATAAACTTTAAGGACTTAAATGATGTTTTGATGCGAAAAATGTTGTTTTGATTTAGCTCTGCCAACATTTATAAGTGAATTTGTGGAAGAGATTTCATGGATTAAAATTTTGACTTATGCAGAAACGATCAATTATAACCAYATCTARATTTAGCTAGATGAACAGTGCAGGTATTCCTTAAAAATAGTGTCAAATATGACACAAAATGTGACGAACAATTGCTTTAATCTTCTTTTGTTTATATTGCGGTAAAAAAATGTTTACACAATGGAAGTGAATTGGAACAAAAATGTACCCGCATTTAGAGTAGTATTATATAAAGCTATTGTAAAGCACAATCCAATTCGTTTCTATAAGCGTCTATTCGATTTCATTCACGCTTGAAATGACCTTTGCACATATCCCCAGGGGCCCGTATATCGGGATTAATTCATTAACACAATAGACAAACAAACTGTCAATGCACAAACATATTAAAACCATCAACGAAAAACGTCTATAGGAGGTTTTCTACTCCAATCTTATCGACTATCAAAATTACACAAGCAAATTTTAAACAACAGCAAATAGTATGCAATCAATGTGCACTGCTCTTGGCAAAACTATACTGAGGTCGGCTATCGATTTTATGCTTTTAGGGCTGATTCACAATCACTAGTATTTCAAATGCAAATATTTTTACAATAAAACCAAGAAATTTCGATTTGATTCCGATAAGCGATTAATTATGCCCAAAAGCGCTTAAAGTAAGAACCAACCAAGAAGCAGATGCATTTTTGGCGCTGAGATGCGCGTCGTTTGCTTAACCCGCCAACGCAATCTCTTTTTGCGCATTGTCTCTTGTTGTTGTTTTCCAAAACGAAGTTTCACGCAAGACGCAACATRCCCACGATGCAATTTTGTGATGATTACGCTTTTTATTCTAAGCCATTACGGTTCGTTTGGCAGACTGCGTTAGAGCTACAGTTAGTATCTCATTATTATGGAACAACAGGTCACGATACGTTCGCGGGAAAATGACATGACAGGTTATCCGGGTCACAATTATTTCTGTCACAAGGCGATACAACTTCAAATRTGACATTTCCGTCAAAAAGTCGAATTCTTTTATCACTGCCTTGACCATTAAACACCAAAATACACAAAAAGTAATGGAGTCATTTTCGTAGTGCTTCTAAGAGGTAGAAATTAGTATTTTCTTGAACTGAATTGATGTTGAGCTTGCCATGTCTGCAGCTGACTTGAGATCATCTCTCAAAATAGCTATGTTTCCATATAAGGATTTTCAAAAGACGGCCATTGAGTGATAATGTTCACTCGTCCCCCATTGGCTGGATATTTTTGTTGTTTTGACTAATTGTCAGTGTTGATGGATCCGCATCGACGATTGGTCTATTTGTCTTGTGTTATCCAATCACAAACGGCGGATTGAAATCACCATTAAATACAGCACGTACCCAATGGAACTTTCGGCCCGCTCCAATTTCCGCGATTGATTTGAGCGTCGGTGAAGTGCATGACACTAAGAACCAAGTGTTTTGTGAGCTACACATTGTAGATCTGCCAAATTCCAGAGCTGCACTGGGCCGTAGTCCACTTTCACTGCTGCACTCACCACTGGCTTATCTTACTCTTTCTTCACTATGGATCTTCAATCAACTATACCGTCTTCTACGATATTCTTAGAACTACAAACAGTCCACGATACGGGTTATTTCTATTCTCTGCCTTCACTGGAGGACGATTGGGCACAGGTAACGTATTTACGTTTTACTCTACTACAACTGCAGCCGCGACACGAGGTCCAGTTTGTTTTTTACTACACGTAAAAATTAACTATTAAGTTGCACAGCAACAATCGGCTTCCGCGTTTTGTCAAAGTAGTTTACATTTGTTTCAGTTTCTATTCGATGATCAATCTAAGACAATGTTTTTTTCCACAGACACGACTTGAAATGGATCGATATTTGTGTCCAGAACCAAGTGCTGTAGAAAACAAAGAATCAAATTTAGGAACTCCAACACCATGGAACGAATTTCTATTACCGTTTGACGAGACTACATTTCCTTTCGGTGACGATTGGGATTTAAAGCCTATTGACTTCAATACATCGCCAAATTCATTGCCAACTGTACCTACTGTTCTACCCGAAACTCCAACTGAACCAAAGCAACCGTGTGTGGAGCTCACGGTAAAACCTCTAAAGMTCAAGTTACCTATCCACGTTTCTGGGGATCTCAGTAAGGTGTCTAAACCAGTATTACCATTAACTCCACCGAGCTCACCAGAGTCCCCTCTACCTTCAATCGTAAATCAACAACGGGCACCGCGACCTGTCTCGCGTGCACCTCGCACTAAAGGTAGCAATGCAGCTAACACTAGTAGACCTAGTAGTCCGAAGGACGGTGCCGAAAGCAAGCGTAGGGTTCACCGTTGCAATTTCAGTGGCTGTCGTAAAGTCTACACTAAAAGCTCACATCTTAAAGCTCATCAACGCACGCACACAGGAGAGAAGCCGTACAAATGTTCTTGGGAAGGATGTAATTGGCGGTTCGCTCGTTCTGATGAACTTACTCGCCATTATCGAAAACACACTGGAGCAAAACCGTTCAAATGTGTGCACTGTGATAGATGTTTTTCAAGATCGGACCATTTAGCTCTACATATGAAAAGACACGCGTAGAGAAACTATGCTAGAGAAGATATTTTAATTTAGAATCCATCTCACAAACTGCCATTGTGGAGAATTAGAATATTTCCATAAATAATTCAAAGTCGGGCACCCCAGGTGCTTTGACGAGGCACCGAGAACTCGTCATATGATATTCGTAACATATGATTCAAAAACAACGCGAAACGACGACAACCATGGAGCAGCATGGATTCCACGTACTTTTGCTGCGTTCTTTAGACGTTATTTGAATTGGAATTGCTTGTGAGTTCACACTTTGTCTAAAAGACAAGTGGAAAGCAGATTGTTTGCATACAAATGAGTTAGCGGAAGGAAAGACAAGAGAGAATAGCTTAGTTGAATTATCCAGTTGTTCAATCAGAACGTAAGAAAAGAAATAGCAACCAAAGATTTGAGAATACTCTAATTACAGATGTTAAGAACACGCAAGACGCGCGTTCTTTTTCTGTCTAAAAACAAAAACATATAATGACATGGTCGAATAATATGTATATATTCTAGGCCTACAATGACCCAACTCCAAATCATTACATTCACATGAAAATAACATAAAGTATATAGAGTCAAACTTGTAAATACGTCCACGATGCTAGACAGTCAATTGAATTGTATATAAAAATATTAAAATTGAAGACGAAACGACAATTTCGAGGAGATATTTGATTTCTTTGGAAAGAAAAAAACAGCTATTTTTCATTGGTGCATTGTTTCAACACTGACCAGATGTCCTTTGATTCGGCTAAAAGGACGCTCTCAATACCATGTTTTCAAGTGTTCTTGCTTTAAACGGATATTTTTCTACATATGTGGCGAAAGATCAGGAAATATTTGTATGCCTCTTTTTGGGAATTGAACCAGACACCTTACMATAACACAAAACTGAGACTGGAACAGCTTTGATAATTCTTTGTAACAAGCTACTTTATGTTATTACAATACTAGACGTTTAGTGGTTTTTGCGATGTTTGGTTTGATGAAATCATTTTGATTCTGTCTACAAATGTACTTAAAGTGTGATTGTGAATGAGCATATTCGTGGAATTATACAAATACGTTGCGACAATGAAAATATTGGCATATCGCTATATAGTATGTTTGTCGAATTTACTGGACTTTTATAACCTTCTCTATTTATTTACACTACAATGACCTTTTAGACTAGACGACGAAAAGTAGCTGCAGATGAAGTAGCGTCGACATTTGATCCCATAAAGTAAGACAGCGCTATTGAAAACAAGAAATTTTGCAATAATATCGAATCTGAAAGTACAACCTTCAGGACGTAATAGTCAAACAGCGAGGAAAATAATTTAAGAATACAGCTTTCGACATGTTGAATTGTTGCTTGATTTACAACCAGTTGAATCTTTTCAAAGAAGCTGAGAAGCTTTTTTTTTTGTGAATGGCAGTTCATTTAGCAGGCAATCACCTGGCTGATGTCATTAAATTTTAAACCTATCATTCACTTTTTCAAAAGCCATTTATCTCGAGAAATTTTAAATACCTTGATTAAAAATAACAAGTTTTATTAAGCCGATAATGCCAAAAGCGATTCCAAATGAGCGTTTTTGTGAACGCAGGTTGTCGATGTACAAAAATGTATTTATCATCAGGAGTAAGATTGTATGTGCTGATCTTAATGTCAATCACTAAAAGGGAATAGGACGCGCACTGAATAGCTATATCCTGTTTATGCAAAAACATTAATTCCTTCAGACAATCCGTACATCTGCATAGTGAATAGACAGATCGACTTCTGCCACAAAATCATTCAATTTATCCCCTTTTTTGATAAAATTTGATTTTCGTACTCCACTTCGTTTTCTGTAATTTGTTACATTTGAAGAAATGCACCTCATTGAATGGTTGAAATTTCAACAAATGTTTTCATAAATATTTAACTCAAATTTGGCAAACATAAGTTGTAAACGAAAACCACTGAATAGAAATGAATTAAATATTTTGAAGAAAAAAGCTGGAAGTATAACATAACAAACCTCCCGACAGAACGAATGACTGTTATTTGTTTACATTTTTTCTTTTCATTTATATAAACGACGGTGGACATAMATGCATCGCGAGCCGAGTTGTTTTTCAGAATCTGTTCAATCTTTGACCTATCAACCTTTCGTATGACTGAAATGCATCTATTTTCCCACGCATTAATCCAATATAAYAAAAACAACTTATGTGCTCATAGATTTATTATTCCCGTCTTTGTCCTCGATATCTATAGAAGCGCTTCCAAGCGTGTCTACTGCATGCAGAACAGMCCTTGATTGAAAGTCATTTATCGTGAACAAAAAGCGCCAAAATTGGGTGTCTCGCTTGACCCAAAAGCCATGGCTTYTGGACTATGCTTTTTGATCCTTAAGGCGGAAATAAAAAGATTAGAGAGACTACTCTTTTGTTGGGTTTTAATGCTTGCAATGTTTGGCATTAAAGTCAGATTCAAACAAAGTAGTGTTACTGTTTTGTATATCTATGGTAGATCATTAAGTGTCGGCAAGAGCATTGCTTCTCCGCGTCATATAAGGTTCGCTCAACTATGACTCTCCAGACAAACTGCAATAATTGGTCTACTCCAGTGAACTTTCATTTATAAAAGCATTCAGCAGAACGTAAACAAGTTTAAGGAGCTACCGACAAATGCGAGCGGGAAGCAATTGGAGACAGAAATCAAATTAAATTCTTGGTAAACAGAAAGAAATGCACCTCTAAGAACGTGAATGGTATAGCGTACAGCAYATTGAGCATTATCCAAGAAATATTAACAAAAACCTTTAGGAAAAAACAAATATRTATTAGCAAACCGCGATTCTTAAGGCCATACAATGCAAATATTATATGTAAAAGAAATGCTTCAAGATTAGTAAAAATCGAACATATGAAACCATAATGAAAGCTTTTTTTAGCAGTTGATTACAATAATTGATGAAKCGAAACTTAACTGCAATACCGACAGGGATGGAATGACATAGCAGAAGTTTTGTAACTTTGAAAAATAGTGCGCCACCTGAGAACTAAAGTACTGAAGTTTGTCTTATTAGTTTAGACCGAGTTTAAAGTAGAGAATTTACAAGTAAAGATCTGAGATGTAAATTAAATTAAAATAAATAAATAAATACAATACATTTTTTATTACAACAAATCTAAATTTAAATATTAAACTATGTACATATTTACATTGGTTCAAATTTCATAAAGAATACAGTACATTTTTGAGTAAAAATATGTCCATTATAAATACGTTGAGTTATAAAATCTACTAAAGTAAATAACATAAATAAATAACGTAAATAAAWAAATAAATAAATAAAAAAATATATAAATAAATWAATTAATWAATTAATAAATTAATAAATAAATAAATATGTAGAAGGAAAAAAACCTGTAAAATAAATTTACACTAAGACGTCATTGTACGGTCTAATTGCATTGTTCTTTTGTGACTACTTGACTATCACACTTATTGATCAGATACAGACAATTATTTTCATAGATTTAATGACTTTACTAAAAATAAGTGCTCAGGTAAGTACCAAATATATCTAAGGAGTAAATAAACAATCAATATACAAGCAAATAAAGGAAACTAAAAGAATTACTATGAAAATGGTCATGTGAATAAATAAATGACAAGAATATGCAAATCCTAACCTAAATTTTGACAGCTGATAGAGACTTCAAACCATAAACCACAAGACACTTATGTATAATAACAGTATTACTAAGAAACTCATAAAAGTTACCTCACTAAAGACTTAAAATTGCCTGCTACCATTGGAAGTAATTTAGCTAAATTACAATATTTGTTATTAGACTTGAAACATGTCTCATAAAATGAAAACAGTCTTCTTAAGCCTTGATTTTCATTTCCCATGTATGAGAGAWTACCTTTTTACCATCATATTCTGTTGTAAAAAGCAATTCATAATGGTACTTATAAATATTTGAGATGAAAACAAAAAAACGAAAATAAYTTTGACCTATGTTATGTCTGCCAATACCAGCAGGAAACTCACAGTTTGAAATCAAAYATACAMAATTGTTTACCGACACATCTAGAGAACCCCAGCTATCAGAGGTGAAATATATGGTCTTCAATGATATTTCAATGATATCAAAAATAATTTCACAGTTAGTGCACCCTCAAATATCAYTAATTTTTCCAAGAGAACTTTTGCTTTAATTAGAATCTTCATGCAATATTGAACCCTTACAATGCTATTGATATTCAAATGTGTAGCAAAATTGAAGTCAGATTGAAAATTGGTATTTTTTTGAACGCCTACTGACAGCAGCACATCAAAAGGGAGGCGTTATGGTTAATTAGGATAAACAAAGTCAAAAGAAGTCTCCTTGAGGCGACAAGAAAAGAAATCGAGATACATATGCTGGTTAAACCATTTTAGTAATTTGCAAATGATTTTGAACAAAATTAATGTTGAAATTGAGGCTTTTGGGGGAAAACAACAGGTTCGCCTTAAAGCCTTGACTTCAATATATACATTCTTCAAGATCATTTGAATATAACTGTAATTTATTAACAGCTATTCATACATGCGAAAAATTCACAAAAAGTGGTTTGAAATTAAGTATGAGACCATGTCAGTTATCATGAGTTTGAAACATCAGAAGACTTGGATTGAAATCTGCAGTTTATAAGCTAGACACTGACAGCCACTCACACTAAATAAACCCTGTACTTGTTGTCAAATCTAAAGTTCCCTTACATCAAAGAAACACTCCTGACATGACAAGTAGACTACAAGTGTCCTGTGGCTAACACAAGATTTCCTTTTGAAACCTTCTGACATGCAGAAAGAAGAAGAGAGAAATGGAGGTTCTGGTTGCTGTTTTGAGGTGTATTGAAAAGTACATGCAACTGTGTCTTTGCATTGAAGCAAGACAACTGTTCAGCTTCGAAAGATAGACACCTGTCAATTCATATTGCTTGTTGATGTGAAAGACAGTTTCATTCATTGATTGTACGGTTTTGATGCAAAGACATGTCAACTTTTCAATATAATGGTAAAGGAAACAAATATGTTGTGGATTCATGGAAAGAAAGATTTGAAAAGGGAATCAGTCCCTGAGGGSTGCCAAAGACAGATTTTATGGTATGTTCCTGAAGTGTGTCTTAGTAGTAYCCAATGTAAACTGTGGGTAGACAAGACCCCTGGCACTTATCTAAAATTAAAATTATTTATAACCGTGACTTGCTGCATCAACCGTTAATGTACATGTGAATCTATACATGAAGTCTCCAGATGTTTCAATTTMAAATACTCTTTTATCAAGGAAACAAAATTGACCTTTCTTCTTAATATTACCTAAAATCTTTCTTATCTAAAATCTTATAATCTGAATGAGCTTTTAGAGGAAATGCTCTTGGCTCAGAATTCCCTAAAGTGTACAAGAAATAATAGCAGTTAAATCAATCTAATCTGGAGATGACAAGCTATTCGTCATGCCAGGACTCAACTTGAGACAAACAAAATTTGAGACCAACCACATGATTGCACACTTGACCAGGCCTATTAAAATACCATTATCATAGTAACTATGGCAACTAATGGGCTATCAACTCTCCTGGATAAGTTAACTCTGATTTCAGACAATCAATTAAACATTTATTGAATGGGTGCACCTATGGGGTCTGTGCAAACAATGATGAATTTCTTGTGGATGCTCCACATGCAGTCTGTGTTTCATATATCATGTGAATAATCTCTCCTTGATACTTTAAAAAAAAACATGAGGGTAACATTTAAAATTCACTTCAGTGCAAATACTTTAAACCTAATTGCAAAAACATTGCCACAGAGAAAAAGAACATTCATATTATTTAATAAAAAGTAATACATTAAATAGACAAATAATTTATGAAAGCATCTAGCCTGAGTGACCTCTTCTCGTCATTTTTAATTCATTTATTTTATTAATGTACAAAGTTCTTTTTTTCTATAACACCTTTTTGAAATTAAGTGTATTAAAGACTGCAGAGCTAATTTATACACAGTCAAGTACAGTAATCATTTAGTACAAAAAATTGTGATTATTGCGAATGAAATATTGAAATTTAATTGATACTCATTAGAAAAGAGTGCTTCAAATAGTGTACAATACATTTTATATATACAATAAAAGCAGTTAGAAAGTTATCGTTTCCTCCATTACAAGAAATGAATACTGCTAATAAATCTTGACAAAGCAAAGTAGTGATAGCCACCTTCATATTTAAAAGTTAATTAGCTATATAGTATGCCTTGACAAAAGAAGAATGATGATTTTTGTCATGATTTTAAATAGCTTTAGATATTTTTAGCAGATGTGTTTACTCATCACCATGCAGTGTAAGCTTGTCGATCATCATCTCATTTTGGTTTTCTGCTCTTTCTTAAATTGACATCTGGCTTATGTAATATGACCATACTTGAAATTGACTAATTTCCCCTATCAATCATTTTATAGTTCTACCATTCGCTTCAATTTTAATTTTCTTGAAAACAACTTAGTACCTATGTGCAATGACTAATTGTACTGTAAATTATTTTCAATAAAAGTGAAGRTCTATAAAATCTATAAAACTTTGTGAAAAAGACAAATAAACCATTTACTTTATATCATTAATATATTTAGTTTATTGTGATTTTAATACTACATTTTTTTTGCATTTTTTTGCATGATCTGCATTCTGGTAATCAAAGCAATCTTATTGAAGTACATTAATTACACATTAAAGTTCTCATTTCAAAAACATCATTAATATGAAAAGAAAAGTAGCTTGGMTATTAAGTATCACTGGAAACATAGTCTTCATGTTTCAGAGAAAAGAAGCTATCATGCTAATTATTAATGACATACATTCATTTAGTTACAGATTTAATACAAAATTGCTGTGGTGTTAACTTAAGAAATTGTTTTGTATCTGTTGAAAATATTTCCTGATTTTGCATRATTGTAACCATATTTACATCACAAAATTGCCATATAATGGTTTTTGAAACCTGATTTTTGGTGAAATGTAAAGCTTGTGTAAGGTCTTACTTAGCCAAGCTACATTTCTTTTCAAATTGTTTTTTTTCAATATTATYATTTTCAAAATATAAATTAAATAATCATGAATAAGCATCACTATGCTAGGGAGCTTAAGGTACTATATCACATTTCTAAAGTTTACACACTATTTATATTCAAAATATTGGTATAAAAATAAATAATTATACAGTGATCTTATAACTTGAATTTATTAATACATTATGTAAATTATATAACTCTTATCACACGTGTTGTTTATCAAAATAAATTGTTATTATCGATTTGAAGTTATCTCTGTTATTAAATGCATTAAGCTAATAAAATACCCTTATACTAAAATATCCACTCTATGAATCTGAATGCCAAACTCACACACATGTAGCAGGGTACCGTATTTACCCACGTATAAGCCACACTTTTTTTCCAAAAAAATCGTTCCCAAATCGGGGGTGAGGCTTATCTACGAGAGCCGCTTATACATGGGTAAATACGGTAGTTGCTTTCTGCCATTGAGAAATTGTTGTTTGGCCATTGAGACATTGTTGTTTTAACTCCAGTTTTCATTTCATATATGCATTATCTCAAAACCAACTTTCATGGTGGGACCACAGACACTTATGACTGTTGATATTCATCACCACAGTCACCTGTAGACTTATAYAAATCACTACCTTTATTAAGGATAGTCTGAAGACTCTCAAGTTCTTTATCTTCCAACTGTAAGTTAAAAGTTCTCAAATTATCACCTATGTGTTTAGCTCCAGGAATTCCAAAACGACATCCTATRATAACAGCTGMAACAGCTGGTTTGTCCAGAATAAAACGCGTCACTACATTTGCTATACTGGTATCAGGTCCATGCGCTTTTGCAATTGTTGAAAGGTGCATCAAGAGTTCCTGAAATAGACTCCATCCTCCCCAGGCGTCGATCATCTGTTTGTATTTTTGAAGTGAGGCTGTTTGTAAATCTTCCATTTTKGGTTCAGTTTTGTGAAGATATTTTTCAGATAAAAAACCTCCTGCTACAGTACCATAAGTAAGAAGCCCAATACCATGCATTTTACAAAATGCTGTCATTTTTACAGAAGCTCTATTGTCTATTATTGAATATTGTATCTGATTGGTTGAGATTTTGATGCCTAAATCTGTGACCTCTTTCAAATGATCAGTGTTAAAATTAGTTAAGGATAGTTCTTTTATGATACCTTGGGTTTGTAGTTCTGAAAGATGTATTAATGCATCTAAGTACCTTTTGTCTGTGAAGTCCCACCAGTGAAACTGCAACATGTCCAATTTATCTACACCCATGCGCTTTAGGGATTTTTCWATGCTYGTTTGTACAACTTTCTTGGTCATGACACCYGGATTTGGGACCCACTTTGTCAGTGCTAAGAACAGAAAGTATGAGCTCAGATAAAAATCAACAATCATGAGCCTGAAATTGCTATCAACAAAAATAAAATAAGCAATTCATGATGTTTAGAATGTACATTTTCCTTATTTTTCACAAAGTTATAGAGCAAAATAATTGTATTCTCCATACAAAGCCTTATAGATTGGCTTGATTTAAGAGATTGGGCTTCCTGTGGTATAAGACCTAAAATGCCTCTCTGCATGTTCCAGGTTGCTGATACAGTATTTCAGTCAATTTCTTGTTTTAATTTCTTTTAACCAAGTACAAGGGATATGTAATGGTGTCCAATACCCTGTTGATGCACTCTAATAAGCCAATCAGTGGACAAGAATTCAGACAATATATTTATTGCCAGGTTATTTGATGATTTGCTGTACCAGTCTCACTCTGGCAGAAATATAAACATGATTTGGAGCACTCTAGAGTACATTTAAAGTGGGAGAGGTCTAAGGGAAAGTAGGGGATCTATTTAAATTAGAAGAACATGCAGAATATCAGCATATCGAAGAGCCTGTCTTACTATAGCACAAAACTGGGGCCTTCTTTCTCAATTACTATGTTTATGTGAAAAGTTGAAAAAAAAAATGCACGGTCACGAAAATTGAGAAAAGTTGGAACTTTTTTATCCTGGCCAAAGATTTGATCGATTGAAATAATCTTCAATTCTGCACACAGAAGGATACATATAAATGATGGGTCCAGTTCTGGACTGTGAACTAACAAAATAATGGAGTTATGAATTCAGCTAAATTTAACAAACAACTATTTCTATTTTAGAACTTTTTCCTAAATTACATCATCATTGCAGGTGTGACAGGTTTAAAAGTTTGCACATTTTGAAATTATCCTAATTTAGAACAACTCTACATTCACACCCCCTTTTACGCAGGACACAACCTAACAATAAAACAGAAGACCAACGTTTTGCTGATTTGATGTTGACATATAGGTCAATCTTCATCAAGATAGTGAGCTTTGTGAACAAAAGGAAGATGAACAAATGCCAAATTGCGTAGACAGACCTAGATTTGAGCGGAAGATCTTTACCACTCGATTTCRAAACGGTCCAAAGCACTTGCATGCACCAAATTACAACGACACGCCTTGAATTATACTATTTACGTATTAAATTACGTACCCTGTATCTTATCTGCTGCTTTATTTCCACGTTTCGATTTAAGTTTCAACAGAAACTGCCCAAAAATATCTTCAGCTGGACCATAGATGTCGGCCATGTCGAAGGTGGTGAGTCCTGCATCGTWATATGTAAACATTTCTTCTACGGCGTGGTCATTRTCGATCGGTCCATGCGAGCCAGAAACTTGCCACATGCCGTTGATGATACGTCGAACCTCAAGACCATACTTTAATCGACATGATGAGACTCTCGACATCTTGAAAGTTTATTTTCATTTACCGGAACGCAATGGCAGCAGCCCTGCCCTGGACGCCTTGTGTACTGTTTTGACGCCCGGCCGTGGTTTTGACATGGGATTACTAGAACTTAGTCTCCCAAACAGTGCACGTCGTCCAATCAATATATCACCATTTCACATCACCATTTTAAAGTGATTTTATGCGCTTCAAGTACATAATAACATAAAAACCAAACACCATAAAAATTGAAAAAAGCTATTTAAAAAGCAACACTGTTTTACTAGTATCCGTGTACGATATMCTCCCGAGTTCAGCTTGCTATGGGTTTTCATAGTAAAAACTGTGTGTATCGTCTTTTCCTCATAAATCAATATGGGAACTAAATCATTGCAAAATGCAACAACTTTTTTTTTATAGCTTTCTTTGTCGCGTCAGAGTTAGTCTCCTCTACTAACTCTGGTCGCGTGCAATGATATTGAAATCAGACCGGAAATAATCAAGCACCGGAAGTGCAACCCGACTTTACAATCGTTGCTAGGCAGCAAGACGCCGGACACCAAACGTGGCAACGCGCAAAAGTTTATTTACTGGGAGATCCCGAAAGAGAAGGTATTCACTTCAAATTATCAGGGTATAAAAACTATTGTCAACCTCTAAACAGTGTTTTATCCTTACCAGTTGGAAGAGGCTGTAAAAGATTTATATTCTTGCTGTAAGAAGACACAGCAGTTAGGACATTTCTGAACGCTTTATAGCACGTAAGACACCTGGTCCCACAAGTCTTGATAACAACCCAAAGGCTTCTCTTGTAAGAACAACAAGTTGCAAATATGCTTAGCAATAAAGGAAAGTTTATTGACCGAAGCAAAGATATCTCTGCGGTAAGTGAAATAACATCCTGAAGAAATGGTTCAAATCGCAATCGTGCACTGCCCCAGTGCTGAATAACATGGGTTACATGTCAGCAGACACCGATCATCTTCAAATATTTCTCGCAAAAGCTTATATACGCTAAATAAGAAAATGTGCGAACTATGCTAAGAAACACTTGTAATCACTTGAGAGTATATTTAAAAAGAATCACTTGAATTCCCGTGAAGGTCCGCTGTGAAACATTATAAACAAAATGTAAATTTTTCATTCATTGACTATAACGGAATGACGTATTAAAACAACATCTTTACTGTAACGTTTAGTAAAATTACTTTGATACAGTTTTTTGGCATGTGTAAATGCGATGTATTAGAATTGTAGAAATTGGCCTTCAGTATTAATAAGGTATCAACACCGGCCCGCCAGTGACAGAAACATTATAAGCTTATAACTTACATGATTTATACGATGTAAAAACTACAGAATGTAACAAATGTCCTCTTGTTCATTAGGCGGGAAAACTGTTTGATCAGGGAAAGACTGCCAGGGAGTGCCTCCTTACTCAAGAAGAGGTAATATAAGAAATTTGGAATTAAATATGTAGAAGTAATATATTAATGTTATGTCATCATCTGCACTGTAGACCCAATATTCTGACAAAGTTAAGAAGTTTAGAGCTACAACCCAACCACATGCTGGTGTTGAAAGAGTATTCCATGGACGAGCTGACGATCCCAACATTGCAAAGTACATATCACATGGAGTTAGCACWAAACCATCGTTATGGGTAAGTGCATAAGTATTAAGGGGATAAYGAAGTGAAAAATGGTATCAAAGGAACCAGTTTTGTCCAGGAATTTTCATATGGTGCCATTGAYATATTGATAAGATTTTTCCAGATAGTTTTTTTTCTGCCATGAAAGGTCTGGCCTCTTTGACAGATGAAAGTATGCATCCTCAGGAACCCAGATGTATTCCTGTCATTCAACAGTTAAATCATCTGTTGTTCGACAGAAGGTTATGCCTGGGTTTCCAAGAATGGTGTTGATGTACTTAAAAAATACTATATTTAAGTCTGGAACAATAATACCAGTAGCCAATTAATGCTACAACAATTAACCACAATATAAATTCATGCAAGTTGAATTGCGTTGAATCATACTTGTACCCACTTGTTACCCTTTTATCGATACCCTTGAAGGGGTTGATGGGAATGCTTCACACATTTTCCTTTGCCTTTCCCTTCATGCATTGCACGCAGCTGAAAACACGAGTACGAGTCTATARCTGACTTGAATCATTATTTTACTTTTATCATTCTCATAGGCAGGAGATCTTGCAAATCCTCCAAAAAAGTCCTTATTTGCACAAAAGATGCTTGAAAAGAAAGAGGGCACTTATGCAAGCAGTCAAAAAGCTCCATTGGGTAAGTGATATAGGCCATGGTACATAAAAACTAGAATAAGTCCMAGACAATAGTGGCAACAAATCATTGTTTATTAATTTGATCAATATAATTTTCTAGGTGAATGTCATGATCAGATGCCAAACTTACCAAGTGGAGCCAAACTTTATGAGGACTGCTATGGAGTRAAAACAATTAAAGGTAAAAAACAGACCAAACTTTTGTTAGAACCAGAATTGATTGATTCTGTATCTCAGACATCCCAGTTTTCTGGTCCATCAAGTGACAAATCAAAAAATCATGGAGAAAAAACTATGAATCAGTTTAATGATACTTGTATCATTCTAATAGTCAAAATAGAACACAAATGTATCTTTTTGTTCTTTAATTAAAAGATGGTACAGCAGGAGAGATGGTCAACCCTGCAAAAACTGCAGAACAAGTTGTGAAAGAGTCACTAGTTGGAAAAGATCTTTACAAATTCAGTCACCACGACTATGATGTTGGTAAGTATGGTGTATATAGAAAACTAGAAAGTCATGAATAAAAGATAACATTCTATTTATAGCTCATTATTATTAACTTTTGAAATATTAGGTGAAGGTTATGACAGAAAATACGATTGGAATCAAGTTCCAAAAAACAGCACCTTTGGTATTGAAACACCACACAATAATGATGGCATCCATGTTAAGAAGAGTTTAAAATGGCTGCATGATATCCAACAGTAAGAAGCATTCCATTAAATGGAAAATATCCTAAAATACATTCAGTAAAATTATTATAAATCAATAAATTTAATATGCTTTTTTCAACAGGGCAAAGTGCACTAAAATAGTATCAAAAAGAGTTGACAATTTTAGAGAAAGAACACAACCACAGCTTGGTCAATGCCATGACCCTATCAAAGACACTCTTAGAGTTGGACCTGACCATGTGTTTGGAGTTATTGTAAAGCCTGATGAATATGGTGCAGGAGATTTGATACACATGAGAATGCCTTCAGAATACCTACGTGGTAGGGAAAGAGAAAGAGGCATTGTTGCAGCCATAAGGCAACATCTAAAGAAAGCAAACTATCACAACTTTAATGATTTGAAAGCTGCATTTGAACATTATGATAAGGTAAATGTATGCATAGTATAATAACACTCCATTTTACAGTCCCCAGCACCATCTTGAAAGGTAACTGAGACTTGCATTACTATAATGCAAGACAACAGTTGAGCTTGCAATGATAGGCAGCTCTACCTGTGTGAATAACAATCGTCTTATGTGCCAAGAAAACTGTGGGCTCAGTACAGGCCCTGCCTTGCTTTGATGCAAGGGCTCTGCAACGTTTCAAGATGGTGCGTTTGGAACTGTAAAATGAAGTATCATATATAATATTATTTTATAATGTCAGTGGTAATGGGTCAAGGCAAACTCAAGAAAATGGACTTTGAGGCAGTCTTAATGACAATTCATTTAAACTGTTTTACATTATAATGATTATTTTCGTATTATTATAGGATAATTCAGGCATGATAAGCTTGGATGAGTTAGCCCATGTCTGCATACAGTTTAACCTTCCAGTAGAGCAAGAACTTTTAAARTCTCTTCTTGCCACGTGTGATGCTGATAAAGATGGTCAGATTAATTACACTGAATTTGCAAACTTTCTGAATTGGAAAGACCAAATGCCAAGTGGTAAAAAAAGTGAAGACAATGCAACTACAGAGGTACATGGAATATTCAAAATAAAATAAGGAAATGTTTGCCTAGAATTTCTGAGTATAAAATTACATATAATATCCAATATATTATATCAGGTAACCAATATAGCATTTGAGGTCAAAGCTTTGAAGTCATAGCCTGTGTTACAGCTGGAATTTTCTCTCAAAACTCCGAGTGTCACACAGGCTCTCAAGTCATAATGTTGACCAACAGTTTTCAAGTTTCTGACAATTTAAGATGAATGCATAATATTTATTTGCTGCATTGTTTATAGGATAAAATGGCTAACAGCATGCTTTTTTCAGTAAGCCCAGGTAAATTAAAAGGAAAAAATATTTTGTTCAAAAYTAACTTGTTATGTTCTTTATGTTATTTCCAGGAAAAGGACAAAACTGAACTAAATCAATCATTGTCCCAACAAATTGATAAAGCTGTTGGTGGATGGAAAAAGTCCTCATCACAGATAAGAGCTACTGTTGGAGGAATACAAACAAATAGTATGTGTCATGAAAAACATGAATACTAACAAAGCTAGAAAATATTAACTTCTGGTGTGATATCTTTTTATTTTTAGATTGGAGAGCTTATGGCGTACCCACAATTCGATCTGATCTAGCAGCACCAAGAATACGAAGAGTTGGTGACAGAACTGTATGTTATACTTAATCTATCAATTTGCTTCATTGATGGTTTATTATGGGTACCAAAATCCCTTCAGTCTTGTTATTCAATACTTTAATCTGAAGATGGCCTTGGGATAACATTTTATATACAGCAGTTAACCAAACTATGAAGTGTGTTCATGGACTAATAATTTCTTTATAATTATCATCATGATAGAAAAATAAATTTACTTGGAAAAAAATTATTGGTGTAATGGCTTACTAGTAAACGTTACCTAAATTGATGCACTATAACAATAATATGAAATAATCTGGTTTTCTTCATAGAATTATGGTGATGAATCAGACGCCTATGGATTAATCAATCCATCATTGTACAGCAATCATGGTGTTTATGAAAAGGACTTCTTTCAGCCAAGAGATAGATTAGAGGTAAGTCAAGAGTTCAGTCTACTTCATTCTATTTTGCCAAACAAGCAACAAGCGCTTCTCCAGGACTTATCAAACACCATGTAAGGCACAGTCCACCTGACCTGGATTTGCCAATGCTGACTGAAGCAGAATTCAAAATCTTACAGCACATTTTTCCCAACAGATGAGAAGAATCATTGATGGTATTGGTGTTGAAATGACTCCAGAAACATTYGACGAAATATGGAATATTGCAACTACAAACAGTCCACAAGGGCTGGTAAGTAAAGTAACTCAATGTTGTTCTTTCATGATAATACATCATTGCATGCCTGCAAGATAACCCAGAACGAGTCAGAAAGTCTAGTTTTTTCACAACACAGTGGCGCAAAGTTAAGTTAAACATGACAAGCTAATCGCTTTCTTTCTCTTGCTTTCTAGGTGAGCGTAGAATCATTTAGAAATGTCATGGACGAAGCATCTGCACCAAAAGTTCTGCAGAGTCAAGCAGTTTAAAGTTGAAATAAAATATTTTTAGCATCATTATTGTAAATAGAAATGTTTTGATTTGATGAACTTGTTTTTATTTTCCATTTTGGTAGATATCACTATTGATACATTATGCAGCAATTAAATGAATTATATTTTAAATACTACAGACTTCTAATACCTATATTACATCTAAGCAGTAAGGTTTGAATTAGATTAAAAGGTACAAAAAATAGTCTTTAGATCTATTGTGCTGTCAGGCCCTCATCAGAATTCGATTCTTGGCCCATAACTTGTATAACAAACCTTTGAGGAGGCTTCCTATTTCGATTTTTAATTTGAAAAATAAATGAAAATTTCAAAAAGTAAAAACTAATTGAATGTGATCCTTTTTAATTTGGACTAACTATTGTGCACTTAGTGTGATTATAGCATAACTTACAAGAAAACAACTCAGGACATTGATTATTATAATTTCTACTTACACCTATTTACATAATTCCAGTCTAAATTTCTCTTGTCCAAATATATATCATTGTCAATATTAGTTTGTTGAATGAATCATAATTCATAGTTATGCATTTGTATTATTACAAGGCTGTCAATGATTAAAAAAAGATTGCAAAGTACATTACTGTTAATATTACAAATAATTCTATGCCTTTTGAACATTATAATTATTAGTGTCTGACTACAAAAGGCCTACTTCTCTTCAGGTACCATCACTGATCTCTTTTCCAAATTCCTCATGTAGAACTTAACTAGCCATCACAAACACTGCCACATATGCATCTTCTAAAGGACATTCAAGATCTGGAGGCAAAGCCAAAATATCTTTTCCATTCTGTTTAGTGAGCTGAAAGCCTAAAGCTAACAAAAAACTTTTTCCAGGATTTGATGAATGTGTATAAATCCTCTTCAGTCTTGGATCATCAGCTGGTGTATTCTTACCACATATAGCATTCCTTATCTGAAAAATAAGATCAATTTTTTTAATGTTTCCCATACAGAGTCTTACAGTTTTTAATGAAATATTCAATACATATATATGTACAATAACGTAAGCTTATAAACCCAGTTAATCGTGTTTAATAATTACCACAGTGTCAAATCTACATTTTGTTACTTTATTTGTACATACCAAGTACAAAAGTTGATCACAGTATTCTGGAGTGACATCTTTTAAGGCAATGTTCTGAAGATTTGTGAGTCCTATAAACAGCAAAATTTATCAGTATAAAAACATGTTGAATGTAGATACATGGGATTCATGGATCTAGTCTATAAGATTTATTCTTTTCCTTTTTTCTCTGTTTTATTTCTTTCATTTCTTTTTCAAATCACAAATTAATAATAATTGTAACTTTCATCAATTTTTTTTTCTTCTATTTACTTTTTGTCTGCTTTTTTCTAAGTTCATTGTATTATTACTATTAATAAGTACAACACTTCTTTAATCAACAATAATATTATTACTTAAATGAATATTGCAAATATAATCATACCATGTAGAGAAGTTGCAAGCCCACAACAAGACAAGACTACATCCTTCTTATCATCCTCAGGGTAAATCATCTTTCCACCCTTTTTGCTGTCGAATGTTATCCCAAGAATCGTCAAAAGCCTCTCCCATGAATTGCAGGAGCCAAACAATGACTTTACTTCATCAAGAGAATATGATTTCACTTTTTCTTTGTCAAAGTAATCACAAACATTATCAAGCTGGGAATAAATTAAAGTATACATAATCAAAATGCAATGATTTAGATTCAAAGATTAATATAGATTGACATTGCAAAATCAATATTATATGAAACCATATATTGATATTGTAATTATAACAGCAAAACTCAAATGAAAATTTTATCTTTTCAATGTTGTCTATTTTTTTCCATAACTAGATTTTATCTATTCATTCATCCTTGCAGTCATTGTATATGATACATACCAATTGCTCAATTACATGGCAGTATTCTGGAGTAGCTAAAATCTCCCTGAAACACTTGATTATATCACCTTTGTGTGGCGACTTCATCAAAGCGTTGAATGCTGATGTCAATGCAGTATCTGACATTAGTAAAAGATGACAACTTTCTGAGCTCAGTATTTGAAAAAAAGACACATCCAGGAATGCTATCAAACACACAAAAAAACCCTGATGGCATTGCAGTGGTAAAAGATAATGCTCTAAGAGCTTTACAACTAACAATTAATACTATCAAACATTTTTTCAAATCTGTACTGTACTCTAAAATCTTTGTAAACCTACCTGGACCATCAGGTTGATCCATGCTGAAAGCATCTGGAGGTTTACCATCGGTTGCATCTGTCACAACATCTTTTAGTTTCTTATCGACATCTAATTCTATGAGACCAAGTCCTTCCAATAATTTCAACCCATAACATCCATAAGCCATGACAGTACCATTTGGTATGTCAAACGAATGGTGATGAGTGTCCTTGATGGAACCAGAAATGTTAACTGATGCTTTACTGATAATATCTGTGCTGGCAACTGCATCTCCTAATAAGCAATAGGTATAAGTTAGACTTATTTCACTGTGATATCCATAGTTAATATTAATAATTATTCTTTATGAAGGTAACAAAAGTGGACATAATGTTTGTTGCCTGTGTTTAAAAATTGATCAAGCTTCCTTCCTATAACATTAATGGTAGAACTCAATATACAATGTAAAGGATGTTTCACACTTTATATGATGCACGCGACTTGACGTACAAGACAGAGCTTGAGGGAAGATTTCTCAGCAGCGGCGGCCTGTTGACAATGACTTCTTTGCCGTTCCCTATACCATCTTGAAAGGTAGCCATACCATTGCATTGAATTGAGACAGCTATTGAGCAGGCAATGATAGACACCTTCTTTCACACCTACAGACAATTATGTCTATCATTGAACTTTGGCTCCCGAGTTTTGCTGCCTCATAACAAAAATGGTGCAAGCTTCAGAATCTGTTGCAGAAGCATGCTGTGGGAGAAAGCTGCTAAAAGATCCAGGTCATCATCAACAAGGAGCAACACTGAATTGTGGGAAGKGGGTATAAAGAAAAAGAATAAGAGAGTGTCTTGAATATGCAATTTTGGTTCATTCATGACAATAATTTTGCTTTGAGCAAAGCAGTAATTTACTAGTATAGCTTGTGACATATAACAATGATGCTTTTACCTTCTACTTGAATATCTGACTGTATATTTGTATCTTTTGTTGTATTCAGTGTTTCGAATACTATACAAAGACTTCTTCTTCTACAATTCAAAATGGCTTGTACAAATTCATGGTCCAGTTTGAGTGTCTGGTCCTTCAAAGCATCATTCAAATCCTGCCATCTTATCTCACTCTTATTGATGGACCCAAGGTCCATTTTAACGACAAAAGAATCAGCTGTGGAAACATCGATACCWAGTTCCTTKGCTATYTTCCCACCAAGTTTACCAGATACGTGTAATGTTGGTTGGTTGGAATAGTTTGAAACAAATTCTGATGTTTTTATTTTCTTGCTCACATCTATAGGCTGAAGATAAAAAATTCAATTGTATAGGTATAGTGGTTGACATCAATGGTCATGAGATTAAAACTATTCAAAAGGACCTTTTATAAAATATGTTCATATTTCTATAATAAAACTTGCAAAGTTGTGATGGAAAAGTGTCTAATGGGCAAACAAAAATGATAAAAAAATGCAAGTCAGATTTTCCACTAGAAAAAAATTTCTCCCTTCCCTATTTTTCCACAGGGAACCCAAAATTTAATAAAAAAATGAAAAAGAGGATTAAATGCAGAGAGGACTTTGTATGTCCAAATGGACAATTAAAAACATTTCTGAAGCGAGCTTTTCGCAGTCTTATACATGTACATGATTTCAATTCTTGTAGAGCAGCTATATAAACACAATGTCAATAGGGTGATTCGTTGGAATTAGGCCAGCATACACATGTAGTGTCAAAATAAGCGGGTAAATAAGCTCAAACTCTGTTCTGGAAAATCTTCCATCTGGGTTCTCAAAGCAGTCCACATATTCTAGATATCAATATAATTTAACACACAGATATATCATACATCAACACTTTTGTGTTAGACATTGAGATTTCATTTTAGCAAAAAATGTCTTTTCTGAGAATTCACCCTTGCCACCCAGAGCCGCCTTAGAATCCATATTTTAATAATTCCAATACATTTTACACTTGCCTCACATATCATACTTTTAATAAAGAAAACTATTGGAGCAAACAGACCTACTAGTAGATTAAGCAACAAAAAGTAAGCTTATGATTTCAAAACCGCACCTTCGTCATGAGCTCATTCAAGGTAAAAGGAGTTGGCAGATATTTCGTCGGCCTCCAAAACCAGCGACTTTTCTTCTTTTCGATAATACACATAATTTTGCATTGAGAGGCTGAGTTGAGGTCAACTATTGGGTGAAGTGAGGACCTCCCTGTGTCCTTAACAAGTTGTTTCGAAGTAGATTCGAAGAGCGCCATTTTGATTCCTGTAGATTTGCCCTAAGAGACAGGGATCCCAATTTTCAAGGTGTACAAACCGCAGGGAGTCCGCAGCGTTAAAAAATGCGCCTAGTTGTGCAATCGAACAAAACTATAACTAGTAAAACTATAATTAATACTATAAAATGATTATAAAAACTAGTATAACCTTAAAACCCAAGCAAAAACACCACTCAAGTATCTTTTTATTGTAAATAATTTTTTTTGATTATATTTTTTTACAATTTTTGGCATAAGAATATTTGATTATTTCTGTAATATAGTATATCTGAGTACATAGTTTTCCGTTGAAGGAACACTGGGGTTGCTATTAAAATTATACCAAAATCTCTTTCAATATGGGGGTTCGGGTGGGGTCTTAAAAATTAGCATATGTTGTCCTCAAATGGACTATTCTCACTCTTAATAGAAGCAAATACCCTATTTTGTTTAAACGTTTATAAGACTACTGATTCGTCATAACGTCTTTCCGTACCCACACGATAAAAGAAGTGCTTTATACTCTGCGATAATGGAAGCTTCATCGTCAAGAGTAAGATCAAGATGAGCGTCAGGGTTGTCTTTCGTTATATCAGGGACGAGKTCTTCAACTGCTTGCTCGACATCCGAATCTTCACTGTCAGAAGTTGTTTGCGAACTTTCAGCTGCGTCAAAGAAACGAAGGTCAGTATTCTCAGTACGAATCAATGAATGGTGACTTTCATCAGGCAGGCTCTTGCTTTTGGGCCGTCTGGCTATATGACGGAAATTTTTGTATCCCCACCTTTTTCGCCAACGCGTGTCCGAACGTATTCGAAAATCTTTGAAAACAGTCTGTACAGCATGTAGCCGGGTATGGAAACGTTGTGGACGAGAGGATTTTAGCACCGAAACAAAATAATTGTGGATTTAAAAAATACCGTCATCGTGTAGACTGGACCATAATCCGTGCAGCAGCCTAAACTGGCCACTCCTAAGAATTGGTGGAAAAGACGGATCTGACCCCCTCAAATACTTTATGATCAGGTTAGTATTGGAATTTATACATTCTGATGAACTACACGTCTTATTTCAAGTAAAACATTAAAAAGCTAGAAACGACAGATTTGGTGCTGCACATGCATTCTTCAA